TCTTTAGGAAATGACGCCATTTTAGGGCCGTTTATAGTACTGGGCAGGCATTTGAATCTAATCAGATCTAGAGCCACAAAATAATAAATAAAAAAAAATATCTAGAGCCACCTAGCAGAATGCCAATTGAGTCATCAATATGATGTCTTAATTAAGCCGAGGGGAAAGCTTAATTACCTAGTTGGCCTGGTGTGATCTAAAATACCAATAGAACTATCTTATAGACCAATTCAAAAATAGAACAAAAGCTAATCACACGAGCGAGGCATCACACTATCATGACCTTTACTTGTATTAACACTCATGTATCGATAATGATCGTTATAACGAAATAAGCGATGGAAATTTAATGTTTTGCACTTACGCGATAGTATATAATTGCGAACAAATTTTGCACGGTCACACCGAATTACTTTTTATGGATATAACTAACGCGAACATGAAACGATAATCTTTATAATCGTAATAATGAACAGGTCATTTGGGAACTAATTCCACCTTTCTAATGGAATATTAATTATAAATATTGGCTTTACTCGTCCTCATATTAGAACTGAAGATAGAAAAAAACGACCTACATTAATCGAAAACCTTAACCCGCGATCTACATTAAAGAGAAATGCATTGTTTGTTTGAAAAAAATAGTTTTATGCTGTAATAATAATACACTTTTTTATACTTCCGACCAAACGATGTTTTATACTGTAATATTAATACACTTTTTTATACTTCCGACTAAACGATTTTGTTAATATCTTTCGTCATCAATTACGACTCTTTTTTTATGTGAAAAAGTGGCAAACGAGCTGGCGGTTCACCTGATGTTAAGTGATAACCGCCGCCTACGGACATTTGCAACACCGGTAGCCGATGTGTTGCCACCTTTTAATAAGGTGGGCCCCGGCTACCTCACACACCGGACGAAACGCAGAAGTGTAACACTTCTACTTTACGCCGGTCTTCTGGAGGTCGTGGTACTAACCCGGACGGACCTGCACATTCATTCGACGCTATTTATTTAATATTAATAGATCTTTATTAAAGTACTACTAAGAAAAAAAATATGGTACAAAAATTTGTTTAAATTAATGAGTATTGAATACCAATTAAGCGGTATGTATTTTCTTTCACGGAAGGATGAAAAGCCTTCTTAACTGCCTTATAGCTTAATGTCACTGTTTTTTTTTTAATTTTTCTTCCCCTGATCTTAAATAGACATGGAGCAAACATTACAATTTCATAATGCAAGAAGTGTTTGCGTATTAAATTTTGCATCGGAAAGGGAATTTGGACTTAGCGAAGGTCGGTAATCTACTCAACAGCAGCGCAATAGTCGTTTGCATTTAAATTTCCCACCCACGTGGCAATTACATCTGGGTTACGACGTTAAACCTATAACTTGTTCAATGAATGCTTCAAAATAGGTATTTTTCCACATTTACTACCGTGCGATGTTCCATAATCGCGCATAAATTTATGCCTTATTTGCCTTCTGTAAACATTCTTTATAGAATATTAATTGCTAATAGTAGTAATTCTCTGTACTTAAGATGGACGAACAATTTCTTCGTGCTTAAGTATGTATGTTAGTGTTTCACGGTCATTGTCTAAGACGATGGTGAATCCGTATGGATATTATTATGCTTATGTCATCTTTTCTAATTTTGTAAATGACAATAATGAAATTTTAAGTTGTTTAATTTTAAACTATTACATAATTTAACTGATAGCTGATTTAGTACTACTACATGACAATCCTTCGGCGCTGCAAATTATTTAATGGAATAAATGGAACAACATACATGTAATGCTAGTATTTATTTCTTATATGATAAAGAAGAGTACATTATGTATGGATACAGATATTATTAGGACTGACGGGCCTGACTTCAAAAGTTTTCGACTACTTATAATACTACCAGATATACGCGATATGATTTGGTCAGTATTTGATTGTAATGAGGTAATATTTCATGGTGCCTGTTTTAGTACCATAGGTAATGGGTGAAAGTATGTTGACACAACGGTTACAAATCAGTGACGATGATATTTGCATTTTAAAATACCAAAAAAGGAGAAAAATAATTACACAAGCCATTGGGGTCGAAAGAAATTACGCCTTCAGATCTTGCCTTAGGTTTAATTCGAAGTCACAACGTACAGGTCATCATTGCCAAAAAGCTAGCTAATAAACGTTTGTGAACTAAATTATTCAAAGGTAGCAGCAATTAAGAACGATATTATACAGTAGTAAATTAAAGAGAAAAGTTACAGCCTATATGTTTAATAATTTCCACTACTAGGCAAAGGCCTTCTCCGCACTAGGGCACATAGTCCACTACGCGACCCCACTGTGGATTGCCAGACTTCACAAATCATCGAATTTTGGTTTTGTTATTCAAAAATATGAAGGTTTTCTCATGATATTTTCTTTTTCCACTGAGTACGTGATAATTCAGCACTTAAAATAAACAATATCATCGGGGCCAGTGTCGGGAATTGAACTCAGGTTGCTCGAGTATCGAGCATAGTATAAAACAAAGTCGTCCCGCTGTCACTCTGTCCCTATGTATGCTTATACGTTTAAAACTACGCAACGGATCTTGTTGCGGTTTTTTATACTAGATGAAGTGATTCAATAGGCAGGTTTATATGTATAATACGTTGCACCTGCGCGAAGCCGGGGCGGGTCGCTAGTATGAATTAAAAGCGAGCGGACACTGAGGTATCAGGGCACCCAGTAGGTATTACGAAACATTAGATATAACTAAATTAAATTCCAACGTCCGGACTGAATTTTATTTTCTCGTTTATTTTTCTTGTTTCTTTAAAAAACATTGCCCTTACTTTAGGATAACATTATCCTGTGTTGTAGGGACGTTTTACAAACATAAATTTCACGCGGACAAACACCCAGATGCGAAACAACTACCTGTGGGTCACACAAATAGTTGTTCCGTGTGGGAATCGAACCCACGACCCCCGACGCCGAAGCCAATACCTGGGCAACTGTGCCACGGAGTCATCGATTGTGACGGCTCTCACCGTCAACAAAAATAGATTCAATAATCCATGCATTACGTAATGAAAAAGCGTCACGAGAACAATTACTTCTCACCGTATACGGCCGTCTAATATAAATGCACAGCGGATAGAGCACGGCGACCGTTTCAATTATACCTTTGCGTTATCTGACCATTCGGTGAGCGCAATTTGACAGCTACAATGTCAAGTTTGGCGCACATAATGGCGCTCCATGTAGCGCAGCCGCTGTTTTGTCCTGGTGCCCATATAAGGCGAAGTCTGGATACGACCTGAGTCATTGTTACGCGAATACACGTGTACCTTTGAAGGTTGTTACGTGCCGACATTAAAATTTACTCTTTTGGCACTGCACACCGCGTAATATTGTCAAGAGTTCCTTATATAATGACTGGACATGATAGTCACGACCTCTGAGGATGAATAGGAAGACCAAAAACGAAGCTGACAATTTTGCTACGGGATAAGCAAGTTTTTATTTTATCTAATATCTTCAAGTTTTGAAAGGATATAATTTGTTAACATGAAATTGTTATTTATCCGAGGTCGTGATAAATTTTAACTTAATAGTTTTTACTAAGTAAATCAAAAATTCAATTAGGTTTATAATATTAATTACAAGGAAATATTATGAAATAATATTTAACTCTTTCAATAGCGTTACCACCATATCCGTATTACGTTGGCCGTTTAGAAATAATTAGCAATACAGCTCTTTGAAGATGTTGCGAGCTACATCAGAAAATGCTTTCCACGCGACAATTCAATTCATTTATTTTACTGTAAACGACATCGAAAAAACCCAAGAAATTAAACAGTACTTTATATTCGTTCGTTACACTATCTCCGTGAACGGGTTCATGTTTGGAATTATTTATATTTCGTATCTTATATTGCCAGAGTTCCGTATTCGTATTGCAGGACATCGAGAATGAGGTTATTCCACGAGGTCGCAATATCCATGTGGGAAGAAGTATTCTTCGAAAAGTAAATTTTTCCGTATAGTGAACTGTAACACAATTAAAACAAAAAGAAAAAAGGGTCAAAAACCGTTTTAAATGCAAAAGTACCAAAAAAAAACTTTTAAACTATTATTTACTTGAAAAAATGGATTTTTACATCCCTAGTTTAATATGTCTATATTTATGGTAAAATTAATACTTTTTAATAAACTAAACAGCCTTTGCGTAACTGAACGTCTTACAAAGTATACAAATATCTGCGTATTAAAAGTGATTTTTGATTGTTTGTCTATATTTTCCGCTTTTAAAGAAGCTTTAAAGACCCAAAACAAAATAGACACAAAAGGTTTCAACGTACATCGGACGCAGAAACTATATATTACTGTAAGAAAAAAAAAGAAAAAAAAACCGGAACCCAAAAAAAAAACCAGAATATATTCAACTTGCAACCATAGACCCGACTACTTTATTTCGATACATACAGTAACTAAACCATTAAATAAATTCGTGGCATACGTGATATACCTTAGTTAAGAAAAAGTCCGTTTGAATATGAACCGAGGTTAATTCAACCAAATAAAATGATGAATCAATTATCAATCCGAAGAATGTTGAATAGAAGAGTTTTGCCCGTCTATGACTCAGTGGCGCAGTTGCCAAGGTATTGGTTTCGGCGTTGAAGGTCGTGGTTTCGATTTCCAACTATTTGTGTGGCCCACAAACAATTGTTTGGGATCTGGATGTTTGTTCACGTGAAATTTATGAATGTAAAACGTATCTTATCATCCAGTAAGGGGCAATGTTTTCGAAGGGAAGCCCACAGTAGATTTTCTAGATCGCAGTGGTCATTGGGACTAGTAGGTCCCAATAGGCAGGAGTTGAATAGTAAATAAACTACTTCCTCACAAAATACAAATAATAATACAAGCACCCGTCTAATCTTCAAATGGGGGAAAGTGACGTCTCCATTTGAAGATTAGACGGGGGTTTACTCACTCCGGTGTCACGATGAAAAAGCCCCTAGAGGTCTGGTAGATTTTCCTCTCCTGCATCAGCTGCGCGAGGGTGTCGTAGACCACGCTGGGGTCCGGCGTCTGCATTGACGGGAACTTGACGGACAGCGAGGTCCGTATGCTCTCCAGGGTTGCTGACTGACCCTGGGAATGCAATGGTTACGATAAAAAATGTACGCAGTTTCATCTCCCATTGGATGGTGACGATAACGACTAAGAGTAAGTCCTTGAAATGTGATTTTTGCAGATTCATGAACAAACACTTACGGCGCTGCGGGGATCGTACCTGCGTCATCTGGGTAACACGCCCAGACCCTTTACTATTTAAGCTAATTGGCCGATGATCTATCTACCACATACAATTTTAAAAAGGTTTTCAACGCATCTGGAAACCTCGGGTGTAGTAGATGTACATGGGCGGCGGCATTCACTTAACATCTGGTGAACTGCCTGCTCGATTGGCAACTTTTCACATAAAAAAAATCTATCGAAGTTCTTCAATACATTTGTAGCAATGCTTGTATACTGTAAAGTATGCACACCAGATGCACCTAGTAAAATAATAAATCTAAAAAACAGTAACATTTGGTTTGTAGCTGATTTCTAAAATGCAGCTCTAATTAATAACTGAAATACGATGGATTCTGTTTTCTGATGGACTGAAGGATTCTGTGAATATTAGGTTAGATTCCCGCAAGTCGAGTGTTTGTGAAACCTTCATATAATTATATCAGCTCTCGGTTTGTGTGAAAAATACCTTAAATATAGCACAAACTACTGAATTGAAGCTTATATTTTAACAACATTTTAATGACCTGTCGGGAAGTAAAGATTGATATTTGCCATTCCGTCTGAATGAGTCACAGTTTCTAAAACGTGAGACACTTCGAGTGTTGCAATTTATCGTTAAATTATTTAATTTAGCTCAAAATTTCACTTTTTTACATAATATAAGACAAAGTCGCCCCACTGCATGTCTGTCCCTATGTATGCTTAGATCTTTAAAACTACGCAACGTATCTTGATGCGATTTTTTTTAATAGATAGAGTAATTCAAGAGGAAGGTTTATATGTATAATTCATTGCGCCCGTGCGAAGCCGGAGCGAGTCGCTAGTTAAAAATATTTAACGCTTTTATCTCATTGCATCAATCATATCAAATCTTGCCAGGGTGACGGTAGCGGATCTCCTTAAATAATGCGGATGTATTCGTAATAACCTTCAACGACATCATGCCGAAAGCTACTTACGAATATGTAAAATCGAGCGTTAGGGTCATTAATAAAGTTTAGGTTACATGGAGCCGTGACGTCAACATGTTCGGTTTTTAGAGTTCCGTACCCAAAGGGTGAAACGGGACCAAACCTATTACTAAGACTCAGCTGTCCGTCTGTCTGTCCGTTTGTCACCAGGCTGTATCTTATGAACCGTGACAGCTAGTTGAAATTTTCACATATGATGTATTTCTGTTGCCGCTATAACAACAAATTCTAAAAAACTGATTAAAAATATTTAAGTGGGGGCTTCCATACAACAGACCTGAGTTTTATTGCTATTTATACACATAATGGTACAGGACCTGCGTGCGCGAATCGGAGTCGCACTTGGCCAATTTTATTTTCATTAATTTAACGTCGAAATTTGTTTTAATCAATTAGTGATTTAATGCATCGTTAATTATTATTGGGTTAAGTAATCACCGTCACCAAGACAAATACAACACTGATGGGGTTGTTGTCGACGACCTCTAAAAAGATTTGGCTCTAATTACCTCGCTCACCAGGAATAACGCAAAACTATTCTATACTGTACGTAGATCTTATGTCAGACCGATATTCCCTGTTTATTTTATTTAAACATTTCCTCTTTAAAGTCGGGTTCCTGTTAAAAGGCTGACTATAGGGAGGGAATGCTTAAATTCTAACTTTAATAAATTAATCGTTTAATGCTAATAAAGTGAAGTAACAGCCTATACATATTCCACTGGTGGGCAAAAGTTTCTCCTCTGTAGAATGGAGGGTATTAATTAATACATAGTCCCCAACGCGGCCCCAATGTGGATTGGCGGACTTCACATACATTCGACATATTTTTTTTTGTTATTGTTTCACCTTTTTTATTATTATTCCATTGACGCTGAAGACGTGTTACGTCAGCACTTTAACAATTTCATTGGTTCCGGCACCGGGGGATCGATCTCAGTTGCTGGAGTATATTGAATTAAAGGCGAGCGCCCGGACGCTGAGCTATCACGGCTTAATGCTAAGTCGAAGAGGAATATACGAAGCCTTTATTTATTAAGATTGCTGACGTTTTAACAAGAATATTAAAGAAAAAACATACAAATGTCTATTTTTATCTACATCTATCTGTAAATGCAGACATCGTCGAACAACACTAATTTAACTGACACCATAATTCAGATTTTTCGCTAACCAGTGACAATTACAATTCAATCGCTACGAGCTTTGTGATAAATTCTATGCTAAGGACGGAATAAATCAGCATAATGCTCGACTCTGATCTTGTTACAGTCCCATTGTTTCGCAAAACCAACCTTTGCGATGAAGAATGTTACAGTTATTAATGGACCCATATTGCATTGGCGCGTAAATTTATTCGGAACATTTCGCGCAGTAAACAATCGCACTGACAAGCGAGATTTTATTACGTGGTTGCGTCTTAAATCTCTATTGCTATCACTTTGCAAAATGATAAAAGCTGGCGTTATGTAAATTCGACTGTTAGTTGCGACTGTATTTATGTCCTCATAGATGACATTTCATGCCTCTATTCGTTATCGCATATTTGTTTAAGAAACATGCCACGCTAATAATTTATTTTATTTACGAAAATAAAGCGATGTTATAAAATGTATATTCTATTCTATTTTATAAATTTTCTAACTTTTGTAAAATATTTTACGCCATCTCATCCCGTGACAGATCGAGTACAACGACTGGAAATTATTTAAAGGCGGATCAAAGGATTAAACTGTACCGGTCTAAAGTTAGCGAGTGGTATGTAAATTCCTTACGAACAACCAAAAACTACGATTTTATTTATACACGAATGCGATATTCCTTTGTCTGCCTACGGAGATTTATTCGGAATAATATCTCAGGTCACCTTCCAGATCAGTGATGAGCTTCTGAAATCCATTTCATGGATTTAGGTTGGTATTCTTAAGTTGGTAGCAAGTTTTTCAGAAGGATATCGCTGATATAAGAGAGGGAGAAAAAATTCTTTTATTAAAATAAAAAAAATATTCACATTTAACTTGTCTATATAGCATAATTTACTGACAACGTTACAAACTATTACAATATCCAAATCATAATATTGGGACTCAATTTAATGTTGTGATTTTTAGGATACATAATCTTCTACATCATGCCGAATGGTCTGTATTAATATTTAATATATTTATCGAGCGTTAGGGTCATAATTTAAGTTACCTCTTCTGCTTATAGAATTAAATTCATGGGTGCGAGACGGGGCGCGACCGAGGGCTCATCTCACTCACCCTGATTAAGGGTTTTTAACAGTTTTAATTAAAATCATGTCAATAAATAAGTAAAACATTGTATAATCACAAACAATTCAAATTTACAAGAGATTCTTTCATATTTTATGTGTTAATTAGTAAAATGCAGATACAAATTAAATTGGATTGCCATTGCATTAATTACAAATGTTTAATGCATGAAGGGTGTTCTGATTCCGGTTAGTTACGAGTAATTAAAAGTTTTCGAAAAAATAAATCATTCAAATGTCATTTGGATTACAGAATTATACAACAGAAAATAATATTGGAAAAGATAAGTTATTCAAACAAATTCCTAGTTAGTCAGGTACTTTGTTGAGAACGAAAATTTTCATTGTGGTATTACCCTAAATCTTTATGTTAACGTAATGATAAATTTAAAATAAGTTTAAGACCCATGTTTATTATGTAATATTAAATACTTGGCATTGAATTTTTTTACATGTTGATTAAATAATTAAACAGATGTTAAAAATTTCTGATTGTTATACCTTTTTTATTATTTCATTTTGTTTATTTTATGTTATCATAATAACGTTTTTAGAAGTAAACTTTTCCGAAAAAACATTCACACATTCTGAATTGCAAAGGAACGGGTATTCAGCTTATCGATGTTTACTTTATTTTAACGTACGATATGGCCAGTTCCGATAAAATATCAAGCTCGTAAAGTCAACAGTGCATTCCGAGGGAAAGGTGCGTAAAGCATGGTAATCTCATAGTAAATCAGTGCAAACGGATATTTCCGTCTGAGTTGTGGCCCAACTTGAACAGTTGTGGGGAGACCAAGCACTTTGGTTTAGTAGACTGGCAGAAGATTGAAAATAAATGCGTCACAAGTTGTGTTATACAATATCAAACTCATCAAATATATACATATCACTCAAACAATTCATAAACTTTTCCAAAGAGATTTGATTTGATTTATTTAACAAAAATTATACAATGGCGGACTTGACACCATTAAATGTTCTCTAACATTCAACCGATAAATAAATAGAGAAACTAATAAGATGCAAGAGTACCAGAGGAGAAGTAATGTAAAATACTCGTGATTTGTTTCTAAATTTTGAAATTGCTTCAGGGAATCTATATACGAATCTGAAATCAAATGTACGATACTGTAAAAACGTACACATATTAAATATAATAAAAATGTAGATTCAATTATTGAAAGCGTTAAATAAAATGATGACATATGTATGTATTTTGAGCAAAATGAAACAGCTTATCCTGCTTCTAAATTTTACATTGATAGAAAATCTAAATCAATATGTTGGTGTTTGCATTTGTTTAATAAACTCAATGTTTTATGTATCATATTAAAAGCTCGACTTGAATTGACAATACTAAATGGAACTTTAAAACACAAAATGAAATTGTTGCCAACACCGACACAGATTTTATCGGTCGCGCTTATAAAGCTTTGCGAGCAAGGTGATCGGGCTTCTTATTCATTTGAAAATTTTGGTCCCGATGATTAATAGGGCTGTCCCAGTTTTGGGTTTGGCAAGATACCTACCAGCAGTCGGAGACTTGGACCGGTTGTGATTTACCCCAACCTGTTCGGGCACCTTGCAACGCGAGATTCGATTGG